TGGTATGGAATATCCAAGGCCTGTCTCAGTCAGAACCATAGTATATCCAGGGCCCACCTCTCAACTTGAACCATGGTATATCCAGGGCCAATCTCTCAGCTGAAACCATAGTACATTCAGGGCCCATCAATCATCTGGAACCGTGGTATATCTAGGGCCCATCAATCATTTGGAACTATGGTATATCCAGGGCCCGTCAATCATTTGGAACTATGGTATATCTAGGGTCTATCAATCATCTGGAACTGTGGTATACCCAGGGCCCATCAATCATCTGGAACCGTGGTATATCTAGGACCCATCAATCATTTGGAACTATGGTATATCCAGGGTCCAACTCTAAGCCAGAACTATGATACATCTGGGGCCCGTCAATCAACTGGAACTATGGACACCAGAGCTGTTTCTTGGACATGTCCAGCCTGTGACAAAGGCTTTAGTGGCCTATTTGCTGATGCTTCTCTGCCTAGATGGGCCGAGCTCACTGACTGGCCTGTGTGATTAGCTCTTGGCTAATCTTAGCTTCTGTCCTGCCTTCCTCTTTACACTCATGGCCAGTGTAAGCTGCCCCACGGTAGGCAGGCTCAGGAGCTTCCTCCTTCTAGGAAGGTATTGTACTGTCTGTGCCATGCTGTGCCCTTGTGCCCAGTGGACAGGATTTCAGGGTGTTTTTTGTTTTTTGTTTTTCCAACAGAAGTAGTTTACGAAGTGCAACAATTCCTAATTTTTTGTTTGTTTGTTTTTTTGAGACAGGATTTCTCTGTATAGCTTTTAACTTTGGAGCCTATCCTGGAACTTGCTCTGTAGACCAGGCTGGCCTCAAACTCACAGAGATCCGCCTGCCTCTGCCTCCCGAGTGTCGGGTTTAAAGGCGTGTGCCACCACTGCCCAGCCAATTCCTAATTCTTAATACTTAAGGGAAAATTAAAAGTCTGTGAATGTGGGATTTGCATCTGAGATTTGCTTTGTTTTTTGTTGTTTTGTTTTGAGTCAGGGTCTCTGTACCTAGCCCTGGCTGTCCTGGAAGTCTCTGTGTAGACTAGGCTGGCTACAGATTCACAGAGATCCACTTACCTCTGCCTCCCAAATGCTGAGTTAAAGGTGTGCACCACCCTGTCTGGCCATCTCAGGTTTCTTGAACTCTCTGGTAGCAGTAGCTCCTGGGAGAGGCCTCCTGTTTCCCCATGCTGCTGCTGCGGACTGTGTGCCAGTGCTGCTTGCTCTGTATGGAAGGCCATAGGCTTCCCTAGCACTCTAGGCACACCAGAGGGTACTTTTACCTTGGTTCTGATGGGAAAGGTGATTGGGAGATTCCATAGCTGGGTTGTAAACCAGCTCCCAGTTGGAAGAGCTGCCAGAGTGGGGAAAGCAAGCGCCTGTGTTTTTCCTTTGTGGTTTGTGTTAGTGAAAACAAAACTACATTTATGTTTTGTTTATAGTGTGAAGATTAATTCTCTGTGCATGCTTTGAAAGCTAGGGACACATGAGCTTATGAACACAGGCTCTCTAGACGCATTTCCTGGATTCATCCCAGCACTACCTGGAAAGTTCCCTGGCTCTTGTTTCCTGATCTTTATAGAGTCTGACCTTGGTTTCTGGCCTGCCTCACTTGTTGCTCATCAGCTAAACCACGTTAAACTTGAGCAGAGCCTGTTCAATTGCTGGCTGCATTTAAAAAAAAAAATTGTTATTTATTCTTTGTGTCTTTCACATCATGCATCTCTATCCCATTCATTTCCTCATCCCTTCATATCCTCCCTCTGCCCTTAGAACCTCCCCCCAAAATAAAATAAAATAAAATTTAAGAGAAAAAAAAGGAAGAAGAAAAAAAGGAAAAATCAATCTCGTCATGGAAGCTGTAGTGTGACAGAGTGAGTCACACAGTAAAGCCTCCTATCCATATATCTTTACTTGCACATGTTTATTGCAGAGAGTCATTGGTCTGGTCGAGGTCTGGTTTCTGCTACACTATCGATGTTGGCCCTCACTGGTTATCTTGGTTATCCTGCTGTTGCCCTGTGTCGTGGAGATCCTGCAGCTTTGGGTCTGCAGGACCCATCCCTTCCGTGCTCCAGCAGATCACAGATTTGGTGGATGTTGGGGTTAGGCCAACTCATAACCCTGGTTCTGGCCTGGGTAATTGCACAGTTGGTCAGCCCCCCAGCTCTCCCTTGTCCTCACCATCAGGGTAAGCTCTCTTGCATTGCCCTGGCTAATTCACAGCAGGGGCCAGTTCTCCCACTTTTAAGTCCTCAGGGTTGGTTCTCCCACACCTACACCTTCAGGGCCAGCTCTACTGTGTTGCCCAGGCTTGCTGTAGGAGTGCTGCAGTTGATGACACCTCTCTCGATCTACAACCTCAGGGCCAACTCTCCCACCTGCCTCAGGCATTGATGGGCAGGGTTAGGAGAGGGCTTCTCTCCCCTACTCATGGCTGGCTGTGTTCTTTAAAGCTATTTTTCCCACCTACAGGTGTTTTCCTGCAGCCAGTAAAGTACTGTTTTTGAGCTTTCCCTATTCCTTGAAAGAGAGATTGTAAACAGGTAGCCTCATGGCCAGAGCAGCCAGTAGATCAGTCTTATCTGGGCATAGTGTTTATAGAATAGCTCAAGTTACTTTGAGTTCCAATCTGAACTTCCCTGTAAATTCTGGATTTTATAGAAAATGGTACCAGTGCCAGCCACTGGATGTACTGCTGCTCTCCTGTCCCTAAGATTTTATCCCCTACTTCTCTCTTGACATTTCCTGCCTGGCCTACGTAGGCCTTCAAGTGTGTAGTCCTGAATTTAGTCTTGTTGCTTTTGGTTCCTCACATAGACAGTAAATGGCTGTACTGGTGAGATTTGTGGATCACTAACTGGCATCAGTGGCATTCAAACACAGATGGTTGGAGACCTGGGGACCACCTGCATCCAGTGTGGGCTTGGCTTCATCAGATGCTTCTGACTGAGCCCTAAGAGTGCTGCTCATGACCAGAAGGAAACCTTACATTTGAGTTGGCAGCAGAGTGTATCTGATGTCTCTCACAAACTTGTCACGTAAGCAAAGCCATTGGGTTACATAAACTGATGGAAGCTAGATCCTGTAGGCCAATCTTACAGCCTTCTGTCAGAGACAGGGCCCCCACTCTTAGGAGATTCATGTCCTCTAAGGACAGGGTCCATGTTGCACAGTTCCTTTCACAAACCCAAACATCAATAGGCCTTGTGGCTTGATATTAGTCATTTGGGCAGTTCTCTGATGTTTTCATAGGCATGCAGTCGGGATGTGCATGCCAACCAGAAGGTTAGACATTACCACTTCTTCAGTCCAGTTTCTTGATTTTTCCAAGCAAATGAAACTTAAAACTTCCTGAACTGTGTTTTGGTGCTATTAGGATGGTCCATGCCCTCAGCCAGATTGCTGGCTCTCAAGAGAATATATAGAAAGGCTTTGGTGTCCTTCCGTCTCTCTATCCTTCTGTCCGTCCCTCCCTCTCTCCCTCCCTCCCTCCCTCCCTCTCTCTCTCTCCCTCTCTCTCCCTCACCTGCTTTGATACTACCTGGGCCTGGGGGCCTAACCTGTAGGAGTACATGCAGTAGGTTGGTGGGTAAGGTCAGGAATATTTAGATAGTGTATTCTCTTCTTTTCATGGTACCAACCTAAAAAAGTGTTTAGGTCATAGAAACTGTGGGGGCGGGAAGGAGGGGGTTAGAATGATGGTTCAGCGTCTTAGCGCTCTGGATGCTCTTCTAGAGGATCTGGGTTTGATTCCCATCACCCACAATGGTGACTCACAACAGTCTGTAACTCCAGTTACAGGAGATTTGTTGCCCTCTTCTGGCCATTTTAGGTATCAAGCATGCATGTGCCCAGACACACATGCTTTCAAAACACTCATACACACAAAAGAAAAGAAAAAAATAGAATAGGGGCCAAGGTGAAGACTCATCAGGTGATGGTGCTTGCTGCCACACCTGATGATCTAAGTTCAATCCCTGGGACCCACTTGGTAGAAGTCGTGAACAGACAACTAATAGTTGTTCTCTGATCTTCACATACACACTGTTGCCCTTCCCCCAACTAACTAAATAAATGTAATTTAAAAAGAACAAAACATCACCAGTTCACTGTTTAGATAACTTCCAATATTTGCCTTACTTGTTTCAGTCTTAGCCTGTTTCCAGTCTCCTGTGTATTGTTTTTGCATAGTTGGATGTTTTGTGTTAACTATTTTACCATATACCTGCTATGCAGAGAAGGTAGAAGGCTTGCGCCACCACGGCACAGTTAGACTCAAGTTTTTTGTTTTTTGTTTTTTGTTTTTTGTTTTTTTTTGGGGGGGGGGGTTTCGAGACAGGGTTTCTCTGTGTAGCTTTGCGCCTTTCCTGGAACTCACTTTGGAGACCAGGCTGGCCTCGAACTCACAGAGATCAGCCTGGCTCTGCCTCCCGAGTCCTGGGATTAAAGGCGTGCGACACCACCGCCCGGCCCTCAAGTTCTTAATGTGGAGAAATTCTCTATTCTCATGATGTCTGAGTTTCCTTGTTGAAATCATTCGTTCTCATTGGAGGGAGTTTGCTCAGGAATGAGTGGAGTTCAGGACTGTGGGGGAACATGCTAGTATCTGCCAGTAGCACTCAACAGGCTGAGCCAGGAGGATCCTGAGTTCCCAGTTCACCTTGGCTGCACAGAAAGACCTTATCACAGAGCACAGCACAGCACTGCAGGAGAGGGAGTGCTGCTGTCATCTAGGGGTAGAGGTGTGCACAGGATGGCTCTAGAGTGTCACTAATGCCTGCCCACAGGGCCCTTTGGTGTTAAGTCAACTCATGCCTGGTACAGTAACCCCTGTGGGCCGGCAGTTGCTGCTGTGATAGGTCCTTGCTTCACTGTATAGCATGTTTGAGTGTTCTATAGTCTCATAGATACTCTTTCCAGTGGTTTCTGGGTGACTGTAGCAAACCTTTCTTTCCTGTAAGTGTTGCATGCTCCTAATACTCCTTTTCTTCTTCCACCAGATGAAATTAAAGCAGAAATAGAAAAGCAGAGGTAAGCAGCAGTGCTTCCTCCTTTTGGGAGTACAGCAAGTGGCAGCCATGGGAACCCCTTTCCTTGCATGTTTACTGTTACATTTAAAGGGGCAGCGCACACTCTGCTAGCACAGTGCTCACACGGTGGAACCCCAGTCTGGGCAGGTGACTGGCCCAGTGCTTGTGTAATGGAGGGATGGTGAAAGAAGGTCAAGTCGATGCCTTTAACCTTCTCTTGAGAAGGAGATAGAAGCCTTGTCCTGCGTGTTGAGGGGCAGCTGGCCTGGTGCCTGCTCCACATCTTGATGGTGGGAGCCAGCCAGTCAGAGTTTAGGAACATGGCCCTGGCGGCTGCAGCAGAGTCGATCCAGGACGCCAGTGAGTCCATTTGTAAGTCAGAGCTCTTGCTTTCTGCACATGACATCCTGGGAGTTTCTTTCTCAAGTTACATGTAGTCAGCTTGTAGCCACATCACTCTGGACAGAGCTTGCAGCACTTTTAACTAAGCGCTTACAAGTAAAATGGGAGAATAGAGTGAGGGAGAGAGAAGCAAGCTTTTTTTCCTTTCTTTTTTTTTTTTTCATTTTTCCTCTCCGCCCTTTTCTGCTTTTCCAGGCTTGGCGCTGCAGCTCCGCCAAAGGCAAACTTCATTGAAGCCGACAAGTATTTCCTTCCATTCGAGCTGGCCTGCCAGTCCAAGTCCCCCCGGGTGGTCAGCACATCCCTGGATTGCTTGCAGGTACCACATGTAAACTTGGTGCGAGGGGCCCTTCAGGGCAATAGGCTCTCCCTTACCCACAGCCATGCTGCTCTGGCACTGAGAATGCCCTTGGAGGTGGTGGTGCAAGAGCGTTTGAATTTTCCTTTGTGAAGATCTCATGTTGGTGGGAAGGGGTGGATCTGTGCTCCTTCACTACAATACACATTTTCCTCAGAAGTATATTATTTGTAGGTTGATTGTGTTTGATATACAGTGCCCCCAGCCTCATTGTTGATGGCATTAACGTGTACTCTCAGGTGTAGAAACAGACACACCTGATTATTTGTGGCAGTTCTGATCTACAGTTTCTCTGAGCATGAGCTACCCAGCCCTAAGAAATGCAGGCTTGGGTTCTCCAGGTCTCCAGTTTGGGCTCCCTGATGAGTATATAACATCATTTCTGTGTGTTTCTATTTAAAGACGCCTCTTAATATGTATGGTTGGCTCGTTAACATTGACTTCACAGCCAGCAGCATTAGGAGCACGCTTGAACCAAGTTTACCTAACACCGCAGTTCTGAGGCAGCCCCGGCGTCCATGCTCCTAAACTCGGGGAAGCGTTTTCTCACACACTAGGGGGCATTCTAGAGAGCATAAAGGACAAAAGTGTGAAAGCTAGGCAGTAAAAACATCACAGAAAAGACACTTGAATACTGAGAGGAACCTGAAAGAAAGCAGTGTCACCTCCTTCCAACTCAGCTGGATTTGGAGTTTTCACTGTTCTGCACATTTCTCCAAGTAACCACACAAGTTCCACAGTTCTGATTTGGGGCTTTCAAATACATTCAGTGAGTGAGGAGTGAATGAGTGTGTGAGGGAGTGAGTGAGGAGTGAGTGAGTGAGTGAGTGAGTGAGTGAGTGAGTACATTTGAAAATGATGAGGCCTGAGCAGTTAGTTTCAGTGATGTCCTCCTAGATGACCTCTACCTGCTGAAGACAAGGGATGGATGCAGAAGTGGGGAGCCTGACGATGTCATACTTAGTTCCAAGCCATACTTTTTGATGTTTGTTTTTCTCTAGGAGCTCCAAGTTTCTGACCACCTCTTAAAGCTTAGAGGGCAGTCCTATCCGGGAAGAAGTCTTGAATGTATTGAGTTGAACTGTGAACAGACTCTGTTAGGGTTGCTTAGAGAGTGTCTTAAGAGGTCCGTGAAGCCTCACACAGCCCCACGTTTCTTGAGGAAGGATGTTGTCATTGATTGCTTCTGTCTGCCAAGGCAGAGAACTGCAGAGTGGCAGGGCAGCCACATTTTTGGCATCCTCAGTCTAATATTTACTCCATTAATCTTTTTTCTTTAATACGCATGCACTTTAGAATTGATGACAGGTTTTTTTTCTCTTTTTCACAAAAGCAGTTCTTCCAAATGAAAAACCATTTCTTTCATTCCAGATCATTCTGTACAGATTGTCCTATGTGCAGCATCTAATGAGCCAAGAACTCTTCAATGGCAGACGCAGTCCTGCTTCTCTCCTAAAATAGTTGATGGCTGTGAATGTTTTCCCAGGAAATTTGACATGTTTAATTTTAGTTGTTTCCTCCCCATGACAAGATTTGATTGGGAGCTGGTCCTCATGCCTAACACATTGATGTCCTGAGAATGATAGCTCACACCCTTCCCTGGCCTATCACCCACCCCACCCACCCCCGGGTACCTCATTTCCATCACCTTGATTAGGCTTTATAGGAACTCCCTGAGGTGTTTATTTTCATTTTAGTTTAGAGTCAAGAAATCTGAGGCTTAGGTAATAAAGTGGCCAGCTCAGCTCAGGGTCGCCTGTCCTATAAGTAATGGGCTTGTTGGGTATGTAGGACTTCCTAATCCCACACTTAAGATCTTATCTGAAAGCTAACTCTGGTCTGTTGTCTGCTTTCGTGAATAGTTTTGTTGGAACACAGTTGTCTCAGCTTAGGCTGTGGTAATTGAGTCCTACAGAACACCAGGCCCTCTCTCATAGCTCTGGAGGGTGGGCAGTCTAATTTCAAGGCCTTAGCTGATTTGGTAAGGACTCTGGCTCAACTTGTAGATTGCCATATTCTCACTGTGCCCTAGTGTGTTAGAGTACCAGCTAGCTCTTGTAGCCTGAAGTCTGTTTAGCTCCCAAAGGCCCAACCTCCTAATGGTCACTGGGTTCTGGGACTTAAGAATATGGATCTGGGGGACAGAACTCGCAGTCATAGTAACAGAGAGATGTGTGTTTATTTGCTTACTGAGGCTGCCTTCCCACCATTGTAGTGTTGGTGAGTAGTTGTAGTAGAGACCACCTGACTTGTATGTTCTACTTGTATGCTCAGTAGAGTAGAGTACCTGGTTCTCTGTGGAGAGATGGCTGACCTCCTTTTCTTTTCAGGACAGGGTTTCTCTGTGTAGCCTTGGCTGTCCTGGAACTTACTCTGTAGACCAGGCTGGCCTCAGACTCAGAGATCCGCCTGCCTCTGCCTCCTCGGTGCTGGGACCAAAGTTGTGCACCGCCACTCCTGGCAGCCTTGGTCTTAACTCTCACCCCATGACCTGGCCTTTTCAGGGACGGCAGTAGTGTCTTCCTGGACTCTGTATGCATGACATTAAACACCTGGGCATTTGTTTCCCTCCAGCTCACTGGGAGTCTTGAGGCTTAAGGTGTTGGCTTCTGCTTTTGAATAGAATTCTTTGGAGTTTAATAGGTACACTGGGGTCTCTGTGTACATTAGTACAAGGCCTAAAGTGTGCTACCCTTTTTATGACTTCAGGAAGTGGATGGGCTCCCTGGGAGACTGAATGGAAAAGGAGCTCACCCTCTGCTGCCTTGCTAAGCCTGCCTGACTGGAATTTCCTGGCAGTTGAGGAAACTCCTGTCCTGGAAACCGAAGGTCACAATCTAGGGGTGAAGTCTGGTTTCGAGAGAAGTGAAGCAGCTGAAGTCACCTACATTGCGCCTTGTCATTCGAGGCGACGGGGACAGAGGTGCTTTAGGGTTTGCTTTGTGATGAGCACAGTTGGCACAGACGCTCCTCCCTGACGGGGAAGCCTAGAGACTTCCCTGCGGCAGCTTCTGCAGCACCAGGAGGCCTGTGCTCCTTTCCTTAGCACTTGGTGGCCCACACTGCCACAGGGCAGGGCCTGTCTTGCCTAAGCTAATGTTTTCCTGGTTGTATATTCATTTTTTGGAATATATTTCAGTTTACTTTAGCTTAAAATTAACATTATGTATACTGTTACTAAACTTGGTTCATTATAAACATATAAAAATAGAATTTTTAAAAGGTCAAGATAAAAATTAAACACCAATCGTGTAGAGGCAGAGAAAGGTGGAGTTGTGTGAGGCAGAGGCCAGGTAGGACTACACAGTGAGACCCTTTCTCAAAAGCAACAACAGTGGGGCCAGAGAGACAGCTCGGTGGTTAAGAGCTGGCTGCTCTTCCAGAGGACCCACGTTCAAGTCCCAGCACCTATATGGTAGCTCAAACTTTCTGTAACTCCAGTTCCAGGGGATCTGATGCCGCCTTCTGGCCTCCACAGGTAGCAGGCATGTACATGGTGCACAGACATACATGTAGGCAAAGCACCCATACACATAAAAAATAATAATAAATACTTTTTTTTTTTTCAAGACAGGATTTCTCTGTGTAGCGCCGCTGGCTGTCCTAAAACTCACTCTGTAGCCCAGGTTGGCCTCAAACTCAGAGAGATCCGCCTGCCTCTGCCTCCTGAGTGCTGGAGTTAAAGGCATGCGCCGCCGCCGCCGCCGCCGCCACCACCACCACCACCACCCCCCGGGTTAAGCCACTCTTAATCTTTTTATGCTTATTGAATGAAGGTGCTTTGTAGCTAGTGGTGGAGAAAGCCACTCAGAAATGTTGCGAGCTTCTGCAGGGTGGCCACTGTCCTAGCACTTTGGTGGTTGCTCTGTGGGCGACCTCAGGAGCACTTGTCTACCTGTGTAGGCAAAGGCAGGAAGCACAACTACATACAGAACAACAGCATGTTCACATCCTTACCAGCTCCCTGGAAGTACAGTGTGCCTTAGAAGTCTGGGCCTTATGTCGGGCTGACCTGTAGAGTAACCTGGACAGTTGAGGAAAAAAAAAAAAAAGATTCTGAGCTTCTGCCCCGTAACGTCCAGTTCAGTAGGTCTGGGTTGAGGTCCAGGAGACTGCATTTTTATGGACTTCTCTGGATGATTCTGAATCTCAGCCAGGTATAGAGCTCACCCTGACCTTTGTCTCACGGATCTCTCTCTGTGCCAAGGACCAGGTTGAGTATAAGGTGGCACAGGCAGGTAGCCTCTGAAAGGCAGCTTATCCACTGGGAGATGGCTAAAGTTGTACTCAGAACAGCTGTGCTTGCCTGGCTCCTGGGAGCAACTGCTGCCATAGGAGCCAGAAGTTCAAGGCCATCATCCCTCCTGTCTTATCTAGCCAGGCAGAAACTTGTAACCTTGGCTTTTCCTTTGTGCAGAAACTCATCGCATATGGGCACATCACTGGCAACGCCCCTGACAGTGGAGCTCCCGGGAAGCGGCTGATCGACAGGATCGTTGAAACCATTTGCAATTGTTTTCAAGGCCCTCAGACGGATGAAGGGGTTCAGCTACAAATAATTAAGGTATTTCTGTTTGCATGGTCTGGGCTTGGGAATGTGGGCTTTTCATTTACCATGTGTTGGTTGGGTGATGTTGAGCTGGCACAGAAGAGTGGAAGAGTTACTTAGAGCTTCTGTTAGCATCATGATTTATGAGCTTGCAACAAGCCCAGAGGAGTAGGACCAGGTGGGCCCCTAGTAGACAGTCCCGCCAACAATGCTGTAATCACCTGTGAACTCATTTGCTTAAGATTCTCTGGGGATTCAGGGTTCCAGCCAACCATTGCTCTGCAGGTCTGCATTGGTACTCTAACATCAGAACCCACTCCTGTCTCTCGTCTCCCCAGCTCGTCCCTGTTCCATGTTTACTGTCAGGAAGGGCTTGACGTGAGCTGCTACCACCAGTGTGTCAGGAAGTGAGAGGGATGGATGAAGGCATCCTTGCAGATCTTAGATCCCGAGTATCTCAGCTGAGTGGGAAACTGGGAACCTTCTGTGTATTAGTACTCATGATTCCTGTGGGTGAAATCAGGGGGCTGTGTTTCGTGAGGGAAGGGTCTAGTTTTCATCAACCAATATTAACATTCAGAATAT